GCTTTGCAGAGACTCCCCTTCCAATGCGGTCCAGGCTGGGGAGTGAATGACACCCCCGTCCCACACAGAGACCTTGCTCCCAGTGTGCAGGGTTTAAAAAGGGTCTCCGGGAAGCGGGGTGTGGCGGTGCACACCTGCCATCCCAGTGGAAGCAGGGTTTGGGGTTCAAGGTGTGCACATACAGGAGCCGCTAAAGCCAAGGGGCCTCTGTGGATAGTGCTTCCCTAGTGTGTGTGACCCTGGGCTCTTGCCCAGCCCCCAGTCCATCCAATCAGAGGTCTAGTCCCACAGTATGGGTGTGCTAATCGACCGGGGCCTCCTTTGTCCAAATTATCCCAAGGCCAAGTATCTCAGCCTTGTTTCCTAGACACCCCGTAGTGTTCACCAGCAAACCCCACAGAACCAGAGGAGGAGGGCTCAACCCCCTTGGAGCCCCAAGCACTGGAAGGGAACTTGTGTGGGATTTTCCCCTCTCCTACTTCTCTCCACTTTTTGGGGGACAGGATATCAGCTTGTAGCCCAGGGTGGACCCAGACACTAAGATTGAAGGTGTGCACCATGGCGCCCCCACTTCTGTAGTTGGGTGTCACCAGAGCTAGGCTTCATGTGATCATCTTGCCCAGCCTGTTCTTGTTTCTATAGCTGCAATCCTGTCAGGTCCAAAACAAAGTCCAGACAAATGGCTATCTGTGGTGCCTCAGCACACCAAAGCACATGCTGGCCTCCAGGCTCACCCCCTACCCTAAACTTCTCTGCCTCATGGACTTCCCTTCCCCTATATCTCATTCCTAAATAATCCTGCCCCATTCCAACCACTCACTCTTAGACGCCTCTCTGGGTCTCCTTTGCCCACTCTCTTCTCTTCCTCGCTCTCTCCTCCCATGGCCCAATTCAGTCTGCTGGCCATGTTCAGACTACTCTCCCCTATATTGGAGAAATTATTTTGGCCACTCCACGTAGTTAAAAGGATATTTATTTAATGGCGTAACTCACAAATTAAGTAATAGGTAGGTCACAGGGTCTGGGGAAGGTGTATTGCAGTCCAGCGGTGTTCTCTGGAGCTCTGCTCAGTCAATCTCCACCGTTCAGCGTCCCAGCACAGAGAGAGCGCACAGAGAGAGTGCTGGCCCATCCAGCTCTCGGGTCTCCCGGCGCCTCCCCTGGCCCCGCCTCATAGGCGTGACAGTTGCCAGAGACTCAATGGGGGTTGGAACTTCCAGATCCAAGCTGGAATGGCTACCCACTACACCCCTACTCTGGAGTCTTTCAGGTGCCCTGGCTTTAGTCTCCTCATACCTACAATAAAAACCTTCTCATCAACCTTATATTGGATGGTCCTCCTCACTCTATACATCTGCTGCTGAATTCCCACTTCATATAAATGCAATGCTAGTATGGGGGTGGGGGGTATGCGCTCATGTCATCCCAGTATTTTTGAAGCTGAGGCAGAAGGATCCGATTCCAGGCCAGCCTGGGTTTAAGAGAGCTCCGTTTTCATACCAATCAAAGGCAGCAGGAGCTGGGTATGCAGGGAAAGTGTGCCCTGGCAAGGTTGCTGGGGTGCAAAGACCTGCACTCTGTATACTTCACCTTCAGAACCAGGCGGCTCTGACTGCTGGGCCAGGATGTGATCCCACACTGAGCCAGAAGCATGGCTGCCTGCCATCCTGACCAGACTGGAAAACATGCTCTGAAGGGTTGAACAATACAGCTCTACCTGGGTCTTCGTTTCCCTGCCTGTGAATGTGGTGGGCAGCTGGCAGGGCGGTGGTCCGCAAGTCCTGGGTCACTCCGTACCCTTGGCCAGTCTCTCCCCTTGCCACCAGCTGTGTGGTCCCAGATACTCCACCAGGGCCTCAGGATCCAACAGGGACAGACACTGTGATGCCAGTGCAGGACTGTATGGACTATAGGAGGGAGCAGGTAGCTCCTGCTTTCCTCTCCCCTCCCCAGCAGAAGGCTGGGAGTGGGGCATGGAGCTGGACATGAGGGAGGATGCCCCTGAACTGAGTCTTTCTTTATTCTACAGGCTTGGCAAGTAGATGGCAGGGGCACATGTACTTACTCTGTGTGTGGGAGCACAGGCTTAATCCCAGCACTCATGAGCAGAGGCAGATGGATCTCTGTGAGTTTGATGTTGGTCTACAGAGACTTCCAGACCAGCAGAGCTGTGTAGTGAAACCTATCTCTAAAACCAAACTAAGAGTCTGGAGAGATAGCTGTTATTTAGAGCACTGGCTGCTCTTCCAGAGGACCAGGGTTTGATTCCCAGCAATCAACTCTAGTTCCAGATCTTCCAGGAGATATGATGCTCTCTTCTGGCCTCCGCAGGAACCAGGCATGCACGTGGTACATACATACATGTAGGCAAGACACTCATAAAAACTTTTTTAAAACACAGTATTTAAGTGGGAAAAAGAGTGACGGGCCAATAGGACAGCTTGGTGGGCAAGGGCCTTGCTGCTAAGCCTCATGACTCAACGGACTTCCCAACCTCCACAAGAATGTGGTGGCATATGTAGCCACATTCACTCACCACACATATCCACATCCATTTTAGCATGAGTATTTTACCCGCACATGTCTGTACACTGTGTGCAGTGCCTACTGAGGCCAGAAGAGGGCACCAGATCCCCTGGAACTGGAGTTGCAGATGGTCTGATCTGCCATGTAGGGGCTAGGAACTCTGGTCTCTGGAAAAGCAGCTAGTGCTCTTAGCCACTGAGCCAATCTCTTCAACTTCAATATATGTAATTTAAAAGATATTCTCAAGTGGCAACAAAACGCCTGTGAAAGTCTTAGACCATTGTCCAGCAGCTGTGAATGTCCCCTGGAAGTTCTCTTCTGGCTCCACAGTGGCCAAGCATTCCCAAGGAAACACTCATGAGCTGCTGGCTGTCGCATGTTGAGGGGCTCACATGTCTGCCACTTGGCTTTATGGATGTGGGAGGGGACCCTCCTGCTCTGTTCTGATTGAGCCTAGCTTGTTGAATTGGGGCCTCTGTGTAGGGTCCAGGATTCCCAGGTAAGGGACCTCCTGCTTCAGTGTCCCAAGCAGTCATGACCGTATGTGTGGCCAGCACACACAGCTTGCTATGTGAGTTTGGTTTTTCATGCTTCCGTCTAGTGCTTAGACACAGCCTCAGTCTCCCCGGACCATGGCAGCCGAGTGAGGGGTGCAATCTCCTGTACGAACACGTCATTACCACATGGCCCTACATTCAAAGTCACAGGGTATGCTGGATAGTTATGTCAACCTGACACAAGCTGGGGTCATGAGAGTGGGGAACCTCAATTAAGAAAATTTAAGAGCATAGGCTGCTCTCCCAGAGGTCCCGTGTTCAATTCCCAGCAACCACATGGTGTCTCACAACCATCTATAATGGGATCAGGCGCCCTCTTCTAGCCTGCAGGCAAACATGCAGACAGAACACTGTATACATAATATAGTAAACCTTAGCCGGGTGGTGGTGGTGCACACATTTAATCCCAGCACTCTGGAGGCAGAGGCAGGCAGATCTCTGTGAGTTCAAGGCCAGCCTGGTCTATAGAGTTCCAGGACAGCCAGGACTGTTACACAGAGAAACCCCATCTCAAAAAAAAAAAAAAAAAACCACTGAGGGCAGCCAGGGTGGTGGTGGCACATGCTGTTAACCTCAGCACTCAAGGGAGACAAGAACAAGGAAGATCTCTGAGTTCAAGGCCAGCCTGGTCTACACAGTGTTTCAGGACAGCCAGGGCTACACAGAAATTGTCTCCAAAAAACAAAAAATATGTAGAAAAAAAGAGAAGAGACCAGCATTTTTGAGGTGAAATCTTCTGGGAAGTACTTCCTGATAGCACATTAAGCTGTGTTCCAGAGACGGTGGATCTTGTACCCTTGCACTTGCAGGTGAACTTGGTAGTACTGGCTTTGAAGACATGAAAGGGTCATGGAAAGCAGCTGAGGCTTGGCACTGTAAGAGCCTACGAGAGGCTATTGGTACAAGTGTAGCCCAGTTGCAGCAGAAGACCCAGCATTTCAGAGATGCCAGCACCGTAAGATGACCATCACCAGCAGCAGCTGTGGAGTGGAGTCAGCCGGAGCCTAGATGAGCTGTGTGTGCTGCATAGGGCAGAGTCGAAGGGACCCTTTTGGAAGAACCTGGAAGATCACGAGTGGACCCAGACATGGGACAACGTGCTGTTTCCACAGCTGGAGAGTTTGGTTTTGCTCTGACTTTATTGTGACTGTGCCCTGGTTCTTCCCTCTTGAAGTAAGAAAAATACTTCTAATTTTACTGGAGTCTACAGTTGAGACTTTGAATTAATTTTTTTTCATTTCCTTTTTATTTTTGTCCATTGGTGTTTTACTTGCATGTGTGTCTGTGTGAGGGTGTCAGTCACATCCCCTGGAACTGGAGTTGTGAGCTGCCATGTGGGTGCTGGGAACTGACCCAGGGTCCTCCAGAGGGACAGCCAGTGCTCTTCACGGCTGAGTCCTCTCCAGTCCCCAGAGACTTTCGATTTTAAGAGGCCTGGAGAACTCCATCAGCATGCACAAGACACAGCCTATCAGCAGGTCTGGGATGCCTGTTACCATGGATGGGGCACTCACTATGAAGGCTGGCGATGTCTAGGGACACTTTATTGGCTCTGGGTTGGCAGACTGCTGTCAAGGCCTAGAGATGTGTGCTGTCTAGGCCTGGGGACATCTGCAGTGAGGGTTGGACCTGGGGATACCTGTCATCAGGGCTACACATGCCCTTACTGTCACTGAGACACCCGTCAGGCCTAGTCTGCACTGTGACCTTCCTTCCTCCTCACAGGACTGACTTTTTGAGACAGTTTCGTTCTGTGGCTCAGGACATCCTTCTACCTCAGTCTCCCTAGTGCTGAGATTACAGACTACATCCAACTCATTTCCTGTTCCTCCACACAGCATGTGACATAACTCGGGCTGACCTCAGACGCCCAATGCCTCCCCGGGGGCCTCAGTGACTGCAGTGCAGGGCCGGGCAGTGGGTCTGCTCCTCATTTATTCCGAGCACTCGACACGACAACACCATGACATCTTAGAGCCTCACAAACACAACAACGTCCGAGTGTGACATCACCAGTGTTCTTCTGCGTTTTACCAGGGACCAGAACCAACCTTCGCCAAGTACTTCCAGGAACAGGAGCGCGTCAGAGCCACAGCAGGCCAGGCCAGCACAGCTTTTGGAATCCATGGCCCTTGTGGAAGTGACCCTGGAACTAGAATGACAGGAGGAACACTGTGACAGGGGCAAGGCCACAGGACTGTCACCAGGTGTCCTCCACAGGCCTGCCACAGAGCAGCCTGGCTGGAGAATAAGGTGGCCTCAGGAGGGTGAGGACGGCGGGGTGTGTGAGGAGGGTCCCGGCAGCTTGCACGAATGGTGTGAGGTATGTGCCCCCTCTCCCTCCACCTGCCCTGTCCCCAGAAGAACCCAAGAATGTCATTTCTCAGGTTGGGAGGCAGCCCCTGAAGGTCTCTATTCCAGGAGTGACAGGAGACTTGGCACCAGGGCCATACCCACAATTCCTTAATCATCTTGAAGACCCAATGGAACAGCACAAAATGCAGATGCCTGGGGAGAAGCTGGAGAGACGAGGTGTTGTGTGCTCCAGCTGCGGAGCCCACCATGGACCAGGGTCCCGCTCCAACCCACAGTCAACATGAAAGCTGCTAGGAAAGTGAAAGAAAAGACCAGAGGACGAAGTTGCAGCCTGGGTCCTGACCTGTCAGCTCCCACCCTGCAGACTGGCTCAGGGTCAGACTGTGACCCAGCTGCAGCGCAGCATGCCCATAGCTACAAAGACCTGTGGTTGACAAGACAGCAGAAGAGTCGGGTGGGCCTGGGGCTGCACCAGCCATGAAGAAGGGGCACAGGGGGGTAAGAGAAGCCGAGGGCTAACCAGATCCTCCAGCTATGCTTGCGGCTGACACCTGACCACCACGTTCCCAGCCCTGACCCCAGACTCTCCACACATCCGTAGGCATTGCAAATGCCCACTTGTGGTGGGGAAGCTGGGACCCCAGCAAGAGTGTCTGCAGGGATCAGGGGCAGCAGGCACAGGCAGTGCTGGGCACAAGGAGGGCGCCAAGACAGCCGTCCATTACACCTGAGCAGTGGCCATCCTTCCAGAGGCCCCAGAAAGAGTCTAGGGAAGAGCTGAGCAGTGTCACAGCACTGCTCTGCGGGAGCCACCCCGAGGCCAGGGGTGCACGGGTTGGGGTTTTCCTCAGGATACACTCTCCAGGGACAGACAGGCATGTGCTGGGCATGTAAGCTCCGCTGTATTAAACTGGGGCTAAGATTCTGAGAAGTCTTCCAAAACAGAGTCCTGCTACACAGCCAGGCTAGACTTTAACTTGCCCTAATCCCCCTGCCTCAGACTGCAGAGCTCTCAGACGTCTGTAGGAGCTGAGATGCCATTGCTCAAAAGCAAGAATCCACACCGCTCCCTCTCCACCAGAGCCTGTGTTCCCAGATAAGCTCCAGAGACAGAAGAAGGCAGGGCTGTGTGGAGAGCTTGCAGGGAGCCAGGCCCTGGGCACTAAGGCTGAGGAGCCACCCTACAAAAGAGGAACAAGATGACAGACAGAGTCCGAGGCGGGAGGCAAGGGTGCCTGAGAGTGGCGGCTGAGTGTGCAGTGGCAAGGCCTGCGGAACCTGACCCGGGGATGTGGAGCTGGCCGAGTACACACCGAGGCTTAGGCTGCAGGCGTCCGGGGCAGGGTGACGGGAAGGGCAAGGCTGCTTCGAGGCTTATCTCTGTCGCCAGTGGCTCTGATCTAGTCAGGAAGAGAATGGCTGTTCAGAACTGAGCATGGAGCATTGTGGGAGAGAAGGTCAAGAACCAAGAATGAGGGCTGGCGATAGGGCTCAGTGGATAAGGGTGCTTGCTACCAAGCCTGAGGACCTGAGTTCAATCTCAGGGTCCCACATAGTGGAAGAACTGACTCACAAGTTGTCCTCTGCCCTCCACACGGGCACCTCAACACACCTGCTTACACACATATACACAGTAAATTAAAAAAAAAAAAAAAGAACCAAGAGTGGGATGGATGAGGCCTGTAGGCCCAAGGCCTTCACAAGAATAGCACTGGAGGCCCACAGGAAGGAAGGTGTAGGCTGGGCAAGGTCACAATCATCAAGTCTGTCCTGGCTGCTGGACCCTGCAAGGACTGTCATCTTTAAGAGAAACCCTGAGCAAGAGCACGCAGGGCCAAGAGTGGCCTGCTCCCATGACAGCATGCTCAAGGCCCAGCAGAGGCACTGGAGGTGAGATGGGAAGCCTGGGGCCAGCAGGCGGCCCCTTTATGAGAGGAAGCTTCCTCCTCTGCATGCCTGGACAGGAAGGGGGGCACATGGCAGGAAAGTCCTTTGCCTCACTCAGACTTCCTTTCTGGTGACATCAGGTGCTGGTCCGGGTCCTGGCACGCACCTATTTGCTGGCCCGCTTGTGTCTGTACATCTGCATCATGCGTTGGCGGAAGACGTCAAACGTGTCTTCTTTCTGCTCTGGCCCATCAGCCCCCAGGCCCTCTCCTTCTGAGAGCGTCCCCCTGCAGAGCAGAGGCAACAGTCAAGAGCCAGGGTCAGGGGTCAGCCAGGGTGCACAGGGACATGGGACACAGACATGCAAAGAGCAAAGGGTCACAGGGCTGGGGCATGGCTCAGTGACAGGGTGCTTGCCATTGCGTGGTGAGGCCCAGGGTTCTCTCCTTAGCACAGCAAAAATCAAACAAGTAAAAGACAAGCCACAAGCCACAGTGGAAAAGGAAACTACGTCTACTAGCTCATGGGAGCATAGACTTTCGTGCTGGAGACACAGCCTTTTATATAGCCCAAGTTGGCCTGTAACTCACAATTCCCCTGCCTCACTCTCTCAAGAGTTGGGATCATAGATGAGTGCCAGGCCTGACTGGAGCCTTCTGTGGGTCTGTAGCCTGACCAGAAGAAGATGCCTCACACAGGGGTATGTTGGGACTGAGGGACAGGCCCTCTGGATATATGAACAGGAACTGAGGATCTGTGTCCCCACCCTGGCTGCCTGTAATGCCTTTTAGAAACATCTGTGCCATAACTACCCAGAAAGGCTGCTTAGTTTCCAGGGCCATGAGCATCAGGGCCAAGAAGCTGTCCAGAGGTCTACAGAGGAAGGAGTCGGCCACATCTGTACACCCAAATGACCAGCTGTACACTGTGCCTAGCCCCAACAGAAAGCACCCAGAGTCCCCCAGGCGCGCCATACACGCTGACAGGCTCGCGGATGCCCTTCCCGAGGGAGCCCAGGCCGTGGCCCTCCTTCCAGCCCATCTTCTGCAGCATCTGGAAGCCCAGGTTCTTGTCTGTCAGTTTCTGCTGGGCAAACTCCAGGTCCTTGGGTTTCTGAGGACAGAGAGGTAGGGATGGGTGAACCCGTCTTCAGAGCACACTGGATCCCAAGTGCTGTCCTAACCCCGACACCTGGGATGGTGAGGCCCACTCACCTCCAGCTTCCCTGTAACACCCCTGGGGGTGGGGCTTCTTGAGTCCAGGTCCCTTACCCCAGGGTCACAACTGGCACCTGGCAGTGGGGTGGCATGCTGCTGCCCTGTGCTGAGCCTGCGAGGGAAACCCTGTGAGGAGGGCGAGGCTCAGGCCAAAGGCTCAGCAGGAATCATTGAGCAAGAGACCTGTAAGGACGAGTGGCCTCTCCTGTGAGTGGACAAATCACTGCTCTCCTGTGCACTGCACAGTTTATACTGTAGGGTCTGAATGGAGTCTCCAGCTCAGCCTCCTGAAGGCAGGGACATAGGCATTCCCATACCTGGCTGCTGTCTTGGGGATGGGGCTTGCTGTGATGCCTAGGCCAGCCTAGAACGCCTGTGCATGAGTAACCATCCTGCCTCAGCCTCCTGAACACCTGGGGCACAAGAGCATGCTCCACACCCAACGCTGCAAAGTGCCTGAAGGCTCTTTGTGAGCAGCAGCAAGTGTACCGTTCTGATCTTGCACCTGCAAGGGTCGGGGGTGTCACTATGAGATCACACACACCTTCTTTTTGGCTATGGGACGACCCCGAGGCCTGTCGTAGGCGATTCGAACTGGTTCGTGGACTAGAAGACAAAAGGGAGAGATCTGTCCACACCGCACATTTGCTCCATGTCCTTAGAGACAGACAGAAACGCTGCCTGGTGAAGACACACTCCAGTATTGTCTGCTGGGCCGTGACTGGCTGTGACGGAGGCAGCAGCACTGTCTGTGCTAAGGGCGTCACTCAGCCGAAAGTGCTGCCCTGTGCAGGGATCTGCTGCTTGGGCTGCTTCCTGCGGCCACAGGCAAGCCACAGCAGTACTGCACCCTCCTAGTTCCATCAAGAGGACATCAGAGGGACAGCTCCGGGAACCCTAACTATCAGTCGAGAACTCGGGAACTCAGGAGAGCACCACGCGCTCATCATGGAAGTCACTGAAGACAATGGCAGGGCTGTCTCACTGATGCCCAAGGCACCACGACTTCTGAGTGGGGTAAGACAGACATGCGCCTCCCCGCAAGAAGCATGGTTCAGCTCCCTGCGCCCCGAGACACAGGACACAGGGTCAAAGCTGGGCCAGTGGCCATCTACTACAGTGCTAAGGACAGTAAGGTGACAGTGTCACACAGAGACCGCGAGGCCCAAAGGCTGCTCTGCTCCCATCTTCACAATGCCTATGAGAATCTCTGGGGACTCAGAAGCTGGGTGTGCTTCAAGATCAAAGGTGGGAAGAGGTGGGAGACTGTCTAGCAGGGCCCAGTGGCGACAGAGCCCAGCAGATGAGAAGGGGCCCCTTGTAAGGAGGGCAGCTCCCCTTACTAGACATGCGGGTCCTGTGCTAACAACTGGGAGTGCAGTACACATTGGTTAAAAATACTTGAGCCAAGCACAGGCCCAGGGCCATGCAGCACTGGGTTACCTGGGCTCCCCTGCCAGCACCACGCACCAAGGAGAACCTGGTCATGGTGGCATACCTACACTCTCACCCTGTGGGAGCTGGGCAGGAGGATTACTCTATAACGCCAGCACAGGTCACACAGGTATGTTCTGTCTCAAAGAAAACCACAACAAAACCCAAAAAGACACTCAAATCCGCAGTCCTGGGAGCAGAGAACCCTGTGCACCGTGCCAGGCACCTCGGGCCCATCTGCACACACAAGGCCAGCAGGTGCTAGCAGGAGGCAGGTGACTGGCTGTGGCAGGTACATCTGGGATGGCTACTGAGTGTGCTGTCCCCCTCCCCCCAGGACTCAGGGGGCACTCACCCTTTGACTCCTGGATGAGACACACCCTCTTGGGGGCAGGGATCATGCCAACTTTCAGTGACTTGCTGCTGATTCTCTTCCTGGGGAAGCAGCTGCCGGAGGAGGTCTGTGACAGGCCAGGGGTGCCAGCCTGGTCCTCCCTGGACCCCTCTCCAGGGATGCTGTCAGTGGGGGAGCTGCCCTCGGAGCCTGGACACTTGGCAGCTCCTGCCTGTGGCCTGAGGGTGCAGGTCTCCTCTCCGCCCTCATCCTCCTCGTCCTCCTCCTCATCTTCCTCCTCCTCAGGCAGCACCTCAGGGCCCTCCAGTGTAGCCTCCTGCTGGGGACGCCCATCCTCTGGCTCACCCTCACCCTCCTTTCGAGCTGTGGGGCTCTGCACTGAGTCCCCCGCCTCACCAGTGGACTGGAAGGAGATGGATGGGCACAGTTCCAGCACCTTCTCTCGGTAGAACTTGAAAGCTGAGCTGCTCTGGTCGTGCAGGAACCTGAGGATGACATGCACTGCTGAGCTGCACGAGTGTGAGCTCCTGACTTGGCCCAGAACACAGGCAGCAGCAGGACATGACCTCCGCACTGCCCTACTACGGATTCACAGCCCAGCTAATCAGACAGAGCCTGCAGAACTTGGACTGGCTGAACCTAATAATCTTCCCTGGATGGGAGATGACCCTGAAGTTCATCAAGACCGGATGCTCATGCACCATGCACGACCCCGCCTCCCATTCCATCCCTAGAACCCTAAAAAAATGTCTTCGAGGCAGCTCAGCTAGTAAAACCACTTGCCGCACATGCCTGAGAACAGAGTTTGGTTCCCAGTCAGACTGTTTCCACTGACCTCCACAAATGCCCACAGCGTGCCCATACACACACACACACACACACGCACACGCACACGCACACACACGCACGCTCACACGCTCACACGCACACACACACTCCCCTCCGGCTTCCTTGCGTGTCCACACGGACAAGTGCACCAACACTCGTGGACACACACATCTGACAGCACACAGGCGCGCACACACACAAAGTCCTAGCAAGTACCAAGTGACTGACAGTGGCCGCCTGGGATGTGAGCGCTGG